ATGTTTCCTGGGACAGAACCCCTGGACTATGAACTTAGGAACAGGTTCTTCACACTGATTCCTCCTCTCCCGTCAGAGGGAAACCTGAAGGGTCTGGGAGTTGTCTGATAGCTCTTTCCACGATCAGACCAGGTTTTAGAGAAGTAGTTTTCTTGGAGCAATGGCCTAAGTCACAGATAACAGAACGATTTGAGTATATATCAAAATATCCCCCAACCCCATTTGCTACATGGAACATCAGGCAATTTTCTCTAGTCTTCACAATGAGAACCTGCTTAAGCTCCTCTAGGAAAAATTAATGAATTTGGGGGGTTACCCTAAGACTGGACCCCCTAAAATTTTAAGCACTCAAGCTAGTCCACACAGTGTCTCTGCTAATTATTCATCACCAGTTTACTCGCATGTGTTCCTAGAGCTTGCTGGCTCCCCTCGTTTCTCCTCCGGGTCGGCGGTATTTCCCCATATTCACCTGTCTTTGGTTCTGAAGGTGTTGCTTTGCTATGTGATCTATGAAGGGGTGGTGTTTTTCAGGTTTTCAGTATTTTTCTTGTGAAGGTGATAATGATCATTTAGAACTCTTTACATATCAGAACAAAAACCATCCATTAACTTTTGTTTCTCTGCATTTTTCCTTGTGACCTAAACCATTTTCACTTATTGATTTTACCACTAGGGACCACGTGGGTAGTTTCAAAGTTTTCCTGGTGGGGACTGAATTCTTTCTCACAGACCTTCAATTCATCCCAAGAAAGATCCTGCAGTTGTGTGGAAAGAAGTGTTAAACATAAAAACCAAGGTTCAGGAGAGCTTAGCATTCTCTCAGCATATGAAAGCAAGTGTGTTATTCACTTGTATTAAATATATATATATACACACACACACACACACACACACACATACACATATATTACACTATATATATGTGTATTATACATATATGCACATATATGACATTAAGTGTACTTGTGAGTTTTCACAAATGTACAGAAATACTACCATCAAAAGGTGGAAAACATGACATCTCCCCAAGAGAACACTCTTGTGGTGCCCATTTGAATAAACACCCTCCAAAACTGCACTAAGAAACATGAAAAAGATTTAATTTCCTTTGTTCTTTAATAAAACTTGAAGCTGTTACGTGTATTTTCCATCCTTCTATAAAATGTGCTGGAAGTCCGAGCACATGGAAATGAACCCTGTGAACAGCAAAATGGGTGGTGGGGCTGTGTGTATTATTGAAACAAAAGGCTTCCAATGACTTGTGTAAGAAAAAGATGTTAAAAATTTCCAACCTCTACTGTTACACCCCGTTAGGATATTACTCAAAAGGATACCCTCTCTCTGCAGCTCATTGTTATTGCTTGGATGATTGACTTACACATCCATACCTCTTTGTGGTGTTTCCACAGGGGAATAGCAATGGACCTCCCTAAATATCACCCTACACATAAAGTAAACATAGGATGGGCTACAATGGTGCAGGCGAACGTAAGTCTTTCTCCAACTGGTAGAACTCCACGGTCTAATGGGATACACATTGTGTCACTCGGTGTGTACAGCAGCAATGGAAAAAATGCTAAATACTGTAACATTTATATATTTAAAGAAAAGTGATAAATGCCCTCAAATGATGTTAAACACAGAAAGACACCACAAATATCTATGGCCAAAATCAAGAGGAAGTCTCAAGTTCCATAAAATCATATCCAAACTCATGACCACAGGTTATACACATAAAATTTATAACAACTGCATAAATGAAGATGGACCATGTCTATATCTCTATGGTGAGTCTTTATTGTTAATCAACGAAAGCAGGACATCCTATATAATCACCCATTATTTAGTTCCATAACCAAGCAGTTCCAGAAACAGTGTTTAATACATATTACATAATTGAAATACAAGTGACCAATAATGACATCTTCACTCACTGAGGCTTCTATCCTCATAGAAACGAAATACACACCCAGCCTCCCTATTAGGGCACATCATTTTACTTTCCTTGAAAGTCCTTATTTCCATCCTATAAACCAAAGCTTTACCATCCGTAAGCACCAGGACTGCAATAATAAGTTTGTCTCATGTCACTACATCCAAATACTACAGTCACTCGATTATTTCTGCTAAATTAGGCTTGATGACTCTAAAGTTCCTGGCAATGAGGGATGTTGAAACATTAGCATCAAGAGTATAGTGTCTGGGGGCTGGTGGAGTGGCTTGTTGGTTAAGAGTTGGCTTGGGAGTGCGAGCTCTGAGCAGCAGGGCCGCCAGTTTAGGTCCCACATGGGCCAGTGACGCTGCGCCCTCTACAGCTAAGATGGTGAACAACAGCTCGACCTGGAACTGGGCTGCCGTGAGTTACCAGCAACGGTGTAGGCTGCAGTGGGGCTGCAACGGGGTGCAGTAAACTACCGTGAGTGGCTGGCAACCAGTGTGAGCAGCCGGCAGCCGGCATGAGCTGCCGTGAACTGCCATGAGCGGCCGTCCAATGGCCAGCGACCGATCTGCCTCAGCCGGAAAGAGCAGAATGATCACAATACAAAAATGGGCCAGTGAAGCGACGTTTTCCACAACTAGACTGAAGAACAAAAGGACAGCAACTTGTCTGTTCCCCTCCCCCGATTCCCCAATGCTGTTCCCTCCCCTAATTCCCCAATTTAAAAAAAAAAAGTATACTCTCTGAGCAAGGAATGCTTGCTTGCTTGCTTGGACCAGTGGTCCTGTCTTCCTTCCTTGCTATGCTTATGTTATCCCACAATTTACCTAAACTTACAGTTGAGCCAAAAAGGTGATATTAAAAACATTATGCAGTATACTAAGAAGTTATATATTTTCACTGAAGTACTTTATGTAAATTACATAGCGCACTGTAGGAAATACATCAGTGTTTAGCTACTAAGTACTAAAGGCATAAGCCATTTCAGAGGACTGCAACCATTGCAAGGCCAAGTTTTATCCTGTTAAAGAGCAAGATGTCACATACCTCCTTCACTAAAGGTACTCAGTGACCATGATGAACCAAGACGAAAACATATTTTGTAACCATGTCTCACAAAATGGTAAAAGTGACAATTCCAAATCATAAAAGTGACCAATATCACCTTTTTACTAATATGACTCACTGGGGGTTCATACGAATGAAGTTTAGCTGCACTACATTGTTTTTACCTTCTAGAAAACAAGGTTGATAATTAGCAACAACATAATAAGTTTACCTCCTCACAGCATTCCATATACAAAAACGTTTTGGTGCCTTGAATAGCAATCAAATAATCTAACACAGGCCAAATCCTATCCAAGTCCTGAGCACCCTTTTATGTTACACTCCACAGTCATGTGTGCTTTGTGGTCATTCTTATTAGAATTCTACACTCCTCTCTCTGACTACAATTGTGATCCTATGGGTCACTGGCAACTGGGCACTGAGAAAACCATGATTTAAGGTTTTTGTATTAACAGGAAATGACAATTAGACATAACAAATATTGTAACTATAAAAGAATAAAACATAAAATATGCCTGAGGAAAAATTACTCAAACATGAATGTACATGATAAAATTAACCCATAAAGTAAAATGATTAATGAAGAGAATAACAAAGTTTATTTGAAAATCCTTAATTATAATGGAATATTTTAACATATTTTTTTCAGGAAATGGAAAACAATATTTGTTAGCATACAAGAGCTCAGAAAAGTTATTTTTATGAAATACCTATAGAAGTGTTCATTTGACAAGAAAATACATGTACTTTTAATCACATACAATCCAACATGATTGAAAACATATTGAGGGATTATATTCAGCTACAAGTAAAAGGAAAACATCCACAGTCTTCTTGACAAGTGTCCTTTTTCACGGCACCATTGTAAGTGTCACGGTGAATCAGGAAAGCATACTAGCACTGTTAACAGCATAAGGCGTTTTGTATACAAATCAGACCTTATACGGATATAATCTAGAGAAGAGGGGAATCAGACATAGGCATGAAAGTCTCAATCAGTTTCCTGGTGGACACAGAGGGCTGACAGAGAAGTCCTACTATGATGGATCTTTGATATGAAATTGTAAAGACATCAGTGGAAACCTACACCTCTCAGAAAATAAGTATCAGACAGTTGATGGTGGTTCTGAGGTTAGTCTTGATTGGAAAGCAAAGAATCCCAGTAATGGGCTGAAAGATGGTGTCATGAAAGCTCCTATATACGAAGGTATGATAAAAAAAATATGGTGCATGTTTAACTTAATACTCTCCCTTGCTTCGAACACATTTATCCCATTGTTCTTGCCACTTTCTGGAGTGTTTCTGGAAGTTCTCTTTCATGAATGTCTGTAATTGTGGGGTCATGACTACCTTGATGTCCTGAATTGATTCAAAACATTTACCTTTCATGGTCATTTTGACTTTGGGGAAGACCCAGAAGTCACCCAGTGCCAGATTTACTGAATATGGTCGATGAGAATACACTGTAATGTTTTTATTTGACAGAAATTGCCATACCAGAAGTGAAGTGTGACATGGAGGCTTTCTGTTGTGATAAAAAACTATGGTGAATGCTGCTGCCAAGTGCCATCCAATGGAAATGCAGGGATCTTCAATACGGGAAGTGTTGCCTTGAACCTTAGTAACAGTGTGTGACAAGTTTCAATTTGTTTGGTACAGTCAGTCAGGTGTGAGCTGTGGTTGAGAGAAGGTGTGTTTTAAAGTGTTCCCTATATCATCCTCCATCATGACAACGCTCCGCATCAAACATCACTTCTGGTATACAGCAAGTTCTGTCAAATAAAAATATTACGGTGTGTCCTCATCCATCTTATTCACCAGGTCTGGCACCATGAGACTTCTGGCTCTTCCTCAAAGTCAAAATGATTCAGGACATTGAGGCAGCCATGACAGTACAACTAAAGACACTCATAAAAGAGGACTTCCAGAACTGCTTCAGAAAGTGGCAACAACGATGGGATAAGTGTGTCTGAAGCAAGGGGGAGTATTTTGAGGGGGATTAATGGCAATGTGTCTTTTACTGTAATAATTTTTTTATTTAAACATTCACTGTATTGTTTGATCACAACTCGTATCTGTCTGTGTGAATGGGCGGCTTCAAAATCTGACTAAAATCTTCTTTGTTTTTGCCTTCCAAATCTCACGCAAGTGAGGCCATTAATGAAGACTACCAAGAACCATAAAAGAGATGGATTCTGAAAATCAAACTCCTACCATTACTCAATGGGAGGGAAAATCTCCAGCTCTAGATTCTGTTGCCCTATCACAGGTCCCTTTTCTTATTTCAAAGTCTACTCACAAAATATTAGCCCAAAGGAAGGACAAAAAGCAAAGGGTCAAATATGAAAATAATTCACATATAACTGTATTTTTTCCTAAACTTTCTATACATAAAATTTATTCCAACTTTTTAGAAAAACGCTCCTATACCCATCACCTCAAAAAAGTAGTTTTGTCAGAGGGAAAGACAGAATCTATATAATGAACTAGGGATATAGAGAACTGCTACAGGCCACTAGGAAAATCCAAATACCTAAATGTCATTTTTCAATGGCCCCCTAAAAGAGAACAAAAAAAAATTATAAAAAATAGTTAACCTAACTGTATATAAAAAGTACACTTCAATTTTGCCACGTATCTAACAGGTTTCAAAATGGAGAGAAATATTATTAAATGCTTTAAGCAAAAAGCATTACCTATTAATATTATGTACTATTAATGAAAGACAACTCTCATTATCTCATGTGAATATTCATTTCTGAAAGTAATTAGTAGAAATCCACAGTCCAATGATGCACTATAAAAAGAGGTTCAATAAACACTATATTTACAACATCAAAGAAAATTCTTTCACATTGAAAACTTTCTGGTACATTACATGTGGATTAATTTCTATCAAGCCTTTTCACATTACTTACATTTTACTTTCTTTTTTGGTGGGGGAATTTTCACTTGTAAGAATGTGGACCAATTCAAGTCTTTCCCATGCTGTTTACAAAAGTTTTTATGCAGTGAGTTCTTTTAGGCTTTTGAAGGAAACTGGGATAATTGAAGACTTTCCACATTCTGCACATTTTAATAAGATTTTTCTCCAGTGTACATTTTCACATTTTCAAAAGATTGTGTGATAAATGAAGACTTTTCCACATTGTTTACATTCATAGGGTTCTCTCCAGTATGAGTTCTTTCATGTTTCCGAAGATAACGGAGACAAGTAAATGCTTTACTACATTTTTTACATACATATGGTTTCTCTCCAGTGTGATTTCTTACATGTGTTTGAAAACTTTGATAACATCTGAAGGCTTTTCCACATTCCTTACACTCAAAGGGTTTCTCTCCAGTATGAGTTTTTTCATGCATTTGTAAGGAATTGGTATCTCTGTAGGCTTTACCACATTCCTTACATTCAAAGGGTTTCTCTCCAGTGTGATTTTTTTCATGTTTTTGAAGATCACTGGGATACCTAAATGCTTTATTACATTTTTTACATTTATAGGGTTTCTTTCCAGTGTGATTTATTTCATGTTTTCGAAGATAATGGAGACAACTAAATGCTTTACTACATTTTTTACATACATATGGTTTCTCTCCAGTGTGATTACTTTCATGTGTTTGAAAACTTTGATAACATCTGTAGGCTTTCCCACACTCCTTACATTCATAAGGTTTCTCTCCGGTATGAATTCGTTCATGTATTCGTAAGGAACTGAGGTATCTATAGGCTTTATCACATTCTTTACATTCATAGGATTTCTCTCCAGTATGTGTTCTTTTATGATATCGAAGAGAACTGGGATAACCAAATGTTTTGCTACATATTTTACATTCATAGGGTTTCTCTCCAGTGTGATTCCTTTCATGGATTTGAACACATTGATGAGAACTGAAAGCTTTACCACATTCCTTACACTCAAAGGGTTTCTCTCCAGTATGAGTTTTTTCATGTGTTTGTAAGGAACTGTAATCTCTGTAGGCTTTACCACATTCCATACATTCAAAGGGTTTCTCTCCAGTATGATTTCTCTCATGTTTCTGAAGATCACTGGGATATCTAAATGCTTTACTACATTTTTTACATTCATAGGGTTTCTTTCCAGTGTGATTTCTTTCATGTTTTCGAAGATAACGTAGACAACTGAATGTTTTGCCACATTCCTTACATACATATGGTTTCACTCCACCATGATTTCTTTCATGTCTTCGAAAACTTTGATAACATATGAAAGCTTTTCCACATTCCTTACATTCATAGGGCTTCTCTCCAATGAATTTACTTTCATGTCTTCGATAATTTTGATAATATCTGAAGGCTTTTCCACAGTCCTTACATTCATAGGGTTTCTCTCCAGTGTGAATTTTTTCATGACGTCGAAGAGAACTGAGACAACTGAAAGCTTTACTACATTGTTGACATTCATAGGGTCTTTCTCCAGTGTGGGATCTTTCGTGTATTTGAAGTGAAGTTGAAGAACTAAAGGTTTTCCCACACTCCTTACATTTATAGGTTTTCTCTCCATTGTGATTTCTTTCATGTTTGTTAAAACACTGGAGATAACTGAAGGCTCTGCCACGTATGTCATAATTATATAGCTTGTCTCCATAATTGTGATACTCATATGGCTTGTGTTCAATGTGATATCTGATGTGCATGTTATGGGATGAATGATGCACAAAGACTTTTCCACACATACTATGTTCCCATGGTTTTACTTCAAGAAGAGTTTTCTTCTTCAGACTGAGATTTGGAATAAGGCTGAAATTTTCTCCATATTGATGACTCTTTTCACCTTCACAGGCTCTCTCTAACATTGGACTTCTGTAAAAATTGACAAGCGCATTACTAATGAGCTCTTCATTAATGATTTTATAATTATTAGTAAAATATTTGAATTATATTTTCATAATTTATAGCAAAATTGTAGGTTTTCCCCTTGACTGAATAAATGATTTGAAATTTAATACATGTACTGAATGTTTGGAATAGTGTTGCTATTATCAAAAGAGTGATATTCATATAAAGGGTTTATTAATGCTGTTTTCCATTTGAACTACTTTTCAAACCTGAACAGCTCTGTCATATAACTAACATATAATCTGACTAACTTTGTGAAATTTTTCTGAGAATACATTTGAAGATGGAATTGTTTTGGTTGCTTCTTTTTAAAATTTCACGGCACAATGGGTTTCTCACCTGAGACACTGCTTTCTATTGTATGACTCACCTTCGTTTTCTCCCCTGGTTTTTGTACTGATCTTCAATGTCATGATCTTCCCATTTCTTTCCTAAAATGCAGACCCCCCAAAAAATGATTCCAAAGTATTAGAATTTATAGAAAAATTATTAGGTTCTAGTTCTATGATGAGCTGTGGCTGCGCCTAGTTTATTTACCAATGTCCTCCCTTCCCACATTACACATCTTAGAAATTACAAATCTTATCCATGTTGATGGATAAGAAATACCTGTCTTCTAATTGACAAAATGAAGGTAACATGTCATCCTACCTACTGAAGCCAGGTTCCTGAAGGTTTCCCGCATCACATCTCTATAGAGTTTCTTCTGTGAAGGATCCAGTAAGGCCCACTCCTCCAGGGTGAAAGTCACAGCCACATCCTCAAAGGCCACTGAGTCCTGAAACACCCCAAATATGTGTACAGTAGGATGAGTGAGACTGACAGCACTGGACACCTAAACTCTATTTATAGGAAGGTTATGTATGATTCTGTTGTCTCCAAATATTTATTCTATGACTGCATCATCAGAAACTTACTCTCTGAACACAGTTACTTTCTCATAAATTTATCAGCATCATGAACACACTGAAATTATTTACACATTCTTACTCTGATCACATAACATCTTATTTTTTTCTAATGGCAGGGTTTAGACAATGTCAGGAAAAAACAAAAATGCTGTTCAAGTGAAACATGTATTATCATTTTAAGATCATCAATTCCTTGAGAGAAAAATTCTCTCATCTCTTTCATTACTGTCCACCATTTATGGCACTCCACGAGGCAGATGTTAACATCTGTATAAAGCTTTAACAAATAAAAATATAGTGAAGAGCTATAAGCTTTTTGCTCTATTCCCATCCCCAAACATGAAAATCCAGGAGGCCTGTGGAAATACAACTGTTAACAAAGCCCAGCTGACCATGTTGCCCTAAATTCCTCCAAGACGTTAGAAGTAACCATATGCACCCGGCTGAATGGAAATATTCTTGTGCAGAAGGATTGCTTTTACCTTGTGTGACATTTATCACAGATTCAGTTCTTCCTTTCTCCCTGTCTGATTTGACTGTCTAGAAAGTCATTTCAAACTTAGAGCTCAGAAAAGGAAGAAGGCATGACAAGTTAGGCCACCAAATCCCTGTACTCATGTGTCACAGGGCTGCTTCCAGTCAATTTTTTTGCACAACCTGAGATAATAGTAAGCCAGAAGTTCTCTTTCCAGCATAACCATAACAGTCTACCCTGGATCCTGCTGATGTTGAGGACATGGTTAAGAGCTTTAGGCTGCAAGAAACTCACTGACGTCCACAGTGGTGTGATGGTGAACTTGCTCACAATTGTAAAATACCTAAAGGTGTCAGCAGTGGTTACCTCCAAGAGAATATACCATCTCCAGTCCCCAGCCAGGAGGAAGTTTTCCTGAGCAGACACCCTAGAGGCTGCCCTCCCTTCTTCTGTCATTTCTAAGCTCCCCCATGGAGTACAGGAGAATGAAGGCTCAGCCCCTGAGCATGGGAATCCCTCAGCTGCTGACCCCGTGCTCAGCCACTAGGGTATGAAAGGGGTTATTGCTTCCATAACTGAGGTCTCTGGGGACAGTAAGGCAGACCTCTCAAGCAGGCATGAAATAGCCTGAGAGAGAAAGGAAAGGTGTACAGATTTTTTTTTTTATTGAGGTTAGGGTGTGGGCTAGGGTGAGAGTTCACACACAAGGGCAGGAACTTGTGTGAACTTAGTCACTTGCTACCACCAAGGAGGGAGCAGTAAGGTTTCTTATCACCTTGTACAGATGTGGGGCACAGGGCATGGAGGAGGGGTGAGGCTCTAAAGCTGTCAGCCATCAGTCATCAGGAACTAGAGCAGGANCTGTAAATAGGACTGTTTTCTTAATTTCTCCTTTTGATACTTGGTTATTGGTGTATACAATGCACCTGATTTCTGAATATTGATTTTGTATCCTGCTACCTTACTGAATTCATCTATCAGTTCCAACAGGCTTTTGGTGGAGTCTTTGGGGTTCTCTATGTATAGTATCATGTCATCTGCATATAATGACAATTTTACTTCCTCCTTTCCTATTTGGATGCCATTTATTTCGTTTTCTTGTCTGATTGCTGTGGCTAGAACTTCCAGAACTATGTTGAATAAAAGTGGAGAAAGTGGACAGCCTTGTCTTGTTCCTGATCTTAAAGGGAATGATTTTAGCTTTTCCCCACTGAGTATGATGTTAGCTGTGGGTTTATCATATATGGCCTTTATTATGTTGAGATATAATCCCTCTATTCCCACTTTGCTAAGAGTTTTTATCATAAATAGCTGAATTTTGTCAAATGTTTTTTCTGCATCTATTAATATGACCATATGGTTTTTGTTTTTCATTTTGTTGAAGTGAAGTATCACATTAATTGATTTGTGTATATTGAACCAACCTTGCATACTAGGGATGAACCCCACTTGATTATGGTGTATGATCTTCTTAATATATTGCTGAATTCTGTTTGCTAATATTTTGTTGAGGATTTTTGCATCTATGTCCATCACGGATATAGGCCTGTAGTTTTTCTTTTTTGTACTGTCTTTATGTGGTTTTGGAATCAGGGTGATAGTGGCCTCATAGAAAGAGTTTGGGAGCCTTTCCTCCTTGAATAGTTTGAGTAGAATAGATGATAATGGTTTTAGAATGGTTGGTAAAATTCACTTGTGAAGCCATCTGGTCCATGGCTTTTGTTTGTTGGGAGCTTGTTGATCACTTATTCAATTTCCTTGGTAATAATCAGTCTATTCAGATTTTCCATTTCTTCTTGAGTTAGCTTTGCAAGGTTGTATTCTTCTAGGAAGTTACCCATTTCTTCCAGGTTGTCAAATTTGTTGGCATATAGTTTCTCATAGTAATTTCTTAATTTTTTTTATATTTCTGTGGTGTCTGTTGTCACTTCACCTTTTTCATTCCTGATTTTACTAATTTGAGTCTTCTCTCTCTCTCTCAATCTTTTTTCTTTTCTTTTTTTTTTAATGAGTCTGGCTAGAGGTTTTTGTCAACTCAAAAAAACATTTTGAGTTTGTCACTCAAAAAACCAGCTCTTGGTTTCAATGATCTTTTGTATTGTTTTTCTGGTCTCTATTTTGTTTATTTCCACTCTGGTCTTTATTATTACCTTTCTTGTACTCCCTTTGGGCTTATTTTGCTGTTCTTTTTCCAGTTCCCTTAGGTGTAAGGATAACCTGTTGATTTGAGATTGTTCTTGTTTCTTTAGGTAAGCCTGCACTGCTATGAACTTCCCTCTTAGGACTGCTTTTGCTGCATCCCAAGGATTTTAGGTGGTTGTGTTTTCATTTTTGTTTCGAGGTATCTTTTGATTTTTTTTTTTATCTCATTTTTGACCCACTCTCTATTTAGTAACATGTTATTCAGCCTCCATGTATTTCTGTGTTTTCCAATTTGTTTCTTGTAGTTAATTTCTAATTTCACAGCACTGTGGTCAGAGATTTCAATTATCTTAAATCTATTGAGACTTGTTTTTTGGCCTAACATGTGGTCTATCTTGGAAAATGTTCCATGTGCACTTGAGAAGAATGTATATTCAGAGGTGAAATGCTCTGAAAATATCAATTAAATCCAGCTGGTCTAATGTGTCATTTAAGGCCACTGTTTCCACATTGATTTTCTGTCTGGAGGATCTGTCCCTTGATGTCAGTGGTGTGTTGAAGTCCCCTACTGTGATAGTGTTACTGTTGATCTCCATCTTTATGTCTGTCAATACCTGTTTTATATATTTAGTAGCTCCTATGTTAGGTGCATAGATGTTTACCTGGGTTNATGAAGTCTAAATCACCAATATTTTTTTGTTGTTGCTTTTGTGTCATATCTAACAATATTTTGTTAAATCCAAGGTCAGGAATTTTTTCCTATGTTTTGTCTAAATTTTTTGTAGTTTTGTCTGATGTTCACATCTTTGATCCTTTTTGGTAAACTCTAGTATGTGGTGTAACTTGTTTCTTTTGCATGTCGTTATCCAGTTGGCTCAGCACCAAATTATGAAAAAAATTTATGACAAAAAATTTTTTCCCCATTCTTGGTACCTTTTTCAAGTATCAGTTGACCATAGATGTTGGGGTTTATTTTTCAAAACTCAATCTGTTCTACAGACCTATATGGTCTATCCTTGTATCAGTACCACACTATGTTGACTCCCTTTCATTTGTACAAAGGTTTGAAATTAAGAAATGTTAGTCCTACTATTTTGCTTTCTTTTCCAGTAATGGTTTGGTAATTCTGGTTCATTTGCAATTCCACATAAATTTATGAAACAGCTTGCCAGTTTCTATAAAAATTACAGCTGGGATCATGACAGGTATTGCTTTGAATCTCTAGATTTGTGGAGTAGTGGTATTTCACCCATGTTACATCTTCTGATCCACAAAACTGGAACTTTTACCATTTATTTATACATTTATTAATTTATTTAACCATGTTTGGTATTTTTCATAGTATGTGCTTTGCACCTATTTTGTGAAATTTATTTAAGTATTTTATTCCTTTTGATTCTATTGTAAATGTATTTCCTTTCTTAATTTCATTATCAGATTGTTCATTGCAAGTGTATAGATACACAATTGATTTTTATATTTTAATTTTGAATTCTACCACCTTGCTCAACTCAATTATTAGTTCCAATAGGTTTCTTTAGGGATTTCTTCAGAGATTTCTATATACAAGACACCTCATATAGAAGTAACGATAATTTTACATCTTCCTAAGTGATCTGCACACATTTTATTTTCTTGCTTAATGGTTCTGGCTAAAATCTACAGTAAACTGGTGAATACACGTGATGAGTACACATCCCTTGTTCCTTGTCTTCAGGGAAAAACATTCCAGTATTTCATAATCAAATATGATATTTGCTGTGGGTTTACCAACAGATGCTCACAATGAGGTTTAGAAATTTTGTCTTATTCTGGGTATGCTGATGTTAAAATTATGAAAGGGTACTGGATTTTGTCAATTATTTTCTTTGAGTCTATTGAGATAATCTTGCCATTTCTGCTCTTTACTCTGTTGGTCTCATTTATTGTATTAATGGATATTGAGATGTTAACCCAACCTTTCAACCATGGAATAAATCCCTCTTGGTGTAAAAGTCTTTGTACATTTTGCTGGATCGTGTTTGCTAATATATGTTGAGGGGTTTTGCATCAACATTGACACACACAAAAATAGGTATGCCTTAGCAAAAGTATGTAAAGTGTTGTCTCCATTCTATTTGTTGAAGAGTTTGTGAAGATTTCATACTAATCTTTATAAGCAGCTTCAGATGTATAGTGCAGTAGTCAGGCCTTTATACCATCCATGAAGTGGTCTCTTTAAGAAGATATAAGTCCATCTGACCCCCTAAA